CCAGTTGCAAGGTCACATTGATTTATTATTATTATCACATTGATTTGTAATCAAAGTGCAATGTGATTATTATCCAGTTATCCAGTTGCAGTGATTATAGACCTTGTAGTATGTAAACTAATCTCTCTACAAACCGAGTAACTGGATATATACAATGATTAGTTTAAATAAACCCGAGTAACTGGATAATCACAATGTAAACTGGATTATAAATCAACCCTAACTTTAAAAGGAAGTAAACCTCTTTCTCTTTGCATACTTGTGTTTGTGTAATAACGCCATGAATCGCGGAAGCATGTACAAATCCGACGACGAAGATGATGACGACGATATCGGTGAAGATCTCGATGACTTAAGACTCGCCTGTATTGTCTCCGAAGATGCCAATTCGGAGAACGAAGACGATTTCGAGTTGCTTCGTAGCATCAAAAGCCAATTAGCTTCATCCACGACGAATGTTGATTTGTCAATGCCTTCGGATTCGGAGAAAGAAGAAGACGATTTCAAAATGCTTCAAAACATTAAGAATCAATTGAAAGAAGACGAAGATGGCGATGCATTTGAAACCCTTTTCGCTATTCGTAATCGATTCTCTAAGCTCAATGGTGAAATCTATACTTTAGTTTATGTGTTAGGTACACACTAAAAGTGTTTTAAGTTTCTTATTGCTGATTTCTTTTACTACTGTTTGTTGTAGATGTGCAAGGAAATTTCATGAATGTTTCTACTAGGAAGAACAATCAGGTACATGCAGTGGCGAATGTAGAACTTATTTTCATCCGGGGCAAAGGTAAAAAACTATAAAAAAAAACACCATGAAATGATATATCAAGAGGGGCATTTTTAAAAAATCCTTAAAGAATTACACTAGTTTTGAAAAATTCATGGTGGGCAAGTGCCCCACCCTTTGTCTCACTGCCTCTACATGCATCGGATAACGAACATTCGAGGGAAATATTGAGTAGGTCTAATACTTGTGAAAGCTTTCCAGATTCAGAGCAAGAAGTACATGAAAAGACTACCATTGATAAGCCTCTTATGCATCATCCTACGAGTTCGAGTTTTCCTGAATCTGCACAAGCCTTTGTTGATGCAATCCGAAGGAACAGGTCATATCAGAAGTTTCTTCGAAAGAAATTGACTAAAAACGAAGCAAGGATTGAGCAGAACGAGAAACACAAGAAGAATGTTGTGATAGTGAAAGATTTTCAAGGTTCTTGCAAGAGAATTACTAAACAAGCACTTTCTCAGAGGAAAGATCCTCATGTCGAATTAATCTCAACGCGAAAGGTAACGCATTTCGACTAATTCCTCTGCCTCTATCTGCGGTTTTCGCTTTGACTATGATATGGAAAATGTTTTGTTTTTCTTAAATTATGTGTAGGGTAATGATAGAAAGACATCATCTCCTTTGGGGTTAGGTCCACCGGAAAATCATTATGTGTTGCAGATTATAAGATGGCTCTAGAGAAATATTCGAGATATTCAAGTTCGCTGTATCGCAGGAATTGGACTAAGAAGGAGAATGAAAATCCTGCAAAAGGTTTAAAACAACAACTTCAAGAAACACTTATTCGTGAAGCTACTGAGCAGTCCAGGTACTGCTACTTGCTGCTTAAGGTCTAGTCAGATGCAGAATTAGTTTCTTTATTGACACAAAATGTTTTCTTGATAGTGATTTGGAAGGATCTATAAACAACATCCTTGAAGGAAATGATTAGGCAGTTTCTTCCGAAAGTTAATTGGGATCAACTGGATATCAAGAACCGTTCGGCTGCGGAATGTGAAGCACGGTAAGTTCCTAATCGATCTCTGGTTACTACGATTAAATCAACTATGGAATTTTCTTAATTTGTGTGGTCTCATTGTTAGGTGGATGAGTTCAGAAGATCCATTGGTTAACAACAACAACAGTACTACATGGACTAAAGCAGAAGAAGATTGCTTACGCTTAACTACCAGAAACAAGAGTTGTACTGACTGGCTTGACATTGCGGTATCACTAGGGACAAATAGGACTCCATTTCAATGTTTTGTCTCGATATCAAAGAAGCTGGAATCCAAACATATTGAATGGAGATTGGACTGCAGAGGAAAAGGACAAACTACACGACGCGGTTGACTTGTTTGGCGAGAACAACTGGCAATCTGTTGCAAATGCATTACAAGGAAGAACCGGAAAGCAATGCTCTGATAAGTCAGTCACTGATCTGATAAGTCAGTCACTGATCTTCTTGACCATGGATATGGTAAATGGGTAAAAATCGCTTCATATATGCCTATGGCTAGTCGAAATCGCAAGCAGTGCAAGAGGAGATGGGAGAGATTAAATCCTCACCTATTGCTTCTTATACGAAAAGAAGATACTATGGGTAATTTTGTCGACCGGGAATCAGAGCGTCCTGATCTTGACACAGACGATTTTTTGGCACTAGCCGAGATATCTCTTGAGCAAGAAGAACCAAGAATTGTAGTAGCCCCGAAGAAGAAAAGCAAAGCACGGTAAAGTTAATTCGAATACAGAAGAAATCAGATGGTGTTGTTACGTACAGAGAGACAACCGAAGAGGCGGAGAAAAGGATCAGAGAGAAGCTCAGGAGATGCATGTAGACAAGAGGATGAGAATGTATGTGAAAATGAAGCAAATAATGGAGAAGAGGTAAGGTGTTTGGAATGGGAAAACGAGTTTCAAGACTATGTAAAGGAGAAGAAACAAAGTCGAAAACGCAAAAATGTTGCAGAAACATTATCAAATAACAGCTCTGTGATCAAGAAGCTTAAGCCTAGGAGGAAAGTGTCTGCAGAAGTTCCTATCGAGAACCAAGATCCATCACTGATGCTCTGAGTAATTCTTTGGGTCCAAGCAAGGGAAGTTAGGGTTTGCAGTCTTCAATTCAATTATATAAACGCTAACATTATCAGTTAATCACTTTGTGACATTGTCAAAGACGGTTTTTGTTAAACTGTCAAAAGGTTCTTTTATCTTTGAAGCCACAGTTTGATGAATATACAGAATGGCAATAAGATCAAACATATAGCTTTCACATGACGTAAACAGATAGAAGCAAACAACGCAACATTAGTTCCAGATTACTAAACAGATCTCACTCACTACTCATCAATTTCTACAGGTGTTGTCAGATTGGAAATGCAGTAGCAGCCTCCGTTTCGTTTCCTTTAAACCTTAAGTGAATCAGTCAAGACATCAACACAACACAAGTTACAAAATATGATCTTGTTGTTGCTAAAGATCATCAGAGTCACAGGTGATATAGAAATCTCTGTAACACATTCTGGACCAACCATCAGTACTGTCTAAAGAGGACTTCCAGTGAGTTCAGGCAATGCAGTTGCCCAAAAGGGCTAGCGTTGAACTCACAATTTTAGATCAGCTTGTTCTTTACCAAGCATTGGCTAATACTAATGAACAAACCTCTGCTCTTTCGGCTTTCTGCAAGCCCACCCTTTCGTTTCATTAGTTGCCGTTGATCTCATAAACTCCCATCTTTAGTGTTGGATGCAACACATCGTAATTATCTCAGATTCTCGGTTGCACTCATATCAAGAAGCCATGCCAATAAACTTCACTTCAGGTAGATGATTGGTTTATACTTTCCCAAATGGCTGGACCATCAGGGTGGACATTGACAAAATACTTCACAAACCGGGCATCACCGCAAGTGAGAATAGTGCTTGGTGAAAGCATCGGCTTTGCTGCATCTCTTTCCCTCAACCATAAATACATTGAGAATCTATTTTGTATTCTCTGCATATCGTAACACAGATATGCTGGGAAACTTACAAGGGATTCAATCGGATATCCAAGAAGTTTGGTTAGGGAATGTATCTTTTTCTCTAAGACATCTTTAGACAGGTTAAGTACTATTGGAGCATGCTTGATGATCTCGGTAACCACACTGTGGCTTAAACCGGCTTTCACGAGGCAATCAAATCTCTCCTGTAGCTGATCTCCCCTCCCTCGAAACTGTTTCAGAGCCTTTACCATCTCATCCGAGTTCTCTAAATACCCTAGCCTCATCAAAAACGCCGTCTTCTCTGCGTGTTTCCTTGAGTCTTCCGAAAGATGTTTGCTTTTTATTTTCTTTGTTGCAGAAACAAAACTGAACAATCTCAAAGGCTCTTTCTTTAAGATTTGACATAGCTCGTCTTGTCTAACGCCCAAGCTAATACAAGCAGTTCTAGGTGCTTGCAGAGAGCACGAACCGATAAGCTCCATGTGACTCAGCAAAATCTTTGTGATAAACTGCGTTTCCATTCTAATAGCGATCAAGAAATCCAGCGTCTTCTGAATATTTCTTACGCATTTGTCTGACAACATCTCTGGGTTATCTATAAATAGCCCATAAATCTCATTCACTTGAAGCCCTACTTTAAACAACCTACCGAACAGGACATAGAATTTCTTACCGGAGCCTTCGAGCACCAAAGCTGGATACATTTTCAAAAGACTACTCAACTTCTCCTCTTTACATCCCACTTTATCAAGAAACTCTATTGCCTCCAGAATTCTACGCCAGCTATATGTTTTCCGGTCAGACAAGTACCGCCCGAGCCAATCAAATCCTACTTGTAACCCCTTCAACTTATCAAACACAGAAGCAAATTCACCATCAATCCCACCAACAAGAAGCAAAGGGCAACTAGTAACTAACTTGATGACTGTACCCTTACTAAGACCCAAATCCTCATAAGCCCCGAGTTTCGACGCCAACATTCCAGATTCGTATCGGAAAATCTCTCTAGCTTCTTTATACATACGACCAATCTTACCACGCGGGATTCCATAGTTGCAAAGAGCATGGAAATTCTCAAACATGATACCATCATCACTCAAAAACATTAGCTGCTGTGGAAGAAACGGTTCAAACTCAGACGGGCACAAACCCAAACTCTCGAAAAACGGTTCAAACTCGTTTATCGGATTGTACCTAAAGAATCTAGTCAATGCCCTGGATATATCCTTCTGGTTATCATCATCAATCTTGGACAAGATATTCGACATAAAATGCGGTGAATTCTTGCTTATATGTTCTGCATCAGTAAAACTAAGGCTCCTAGTAGAATGTAAGTAATCAAAAAGAGCTTCTTGAGCTTGATTCCTAATTGCCCTTGAAACCGGATTAACGAAAAACCGAGTCGGTAACTGAGACGAGTGTTGCTGTAACTCGGACTTATCCCTACGGACACAGCTCTGAATCTGAAAACACCGAACTGTAAATGAAACACGAGAAAGGTCGAACCTTGGAGTTGGAGGAACTTGGTTTTGATGACGAATAGAGGAAACAGCTATGGAATTGTTGAAATGTGTAATCATATTCAACAATATATGAACTTTTTTCTGATATCTGGGCAATAGTAACATCGCAATCTACAAAGCAAAGAGAAAGCATATGAAAATCACCACCCAAACACAAAATTATCAATCCAACAACATAAAAATGCTTACTTTCTCAGAAATTAGGGTTTATTATGCACTTGAATCCACCATTTTCTCAAGATTTTCTATGGTTTCATTCATTGCTCAAAATCGGGTCGATTACTTTTGCTAAAACCTTGTTTAGGGATTTTACAATGGTTCAGGTGGTTATTTTAGGTGAAAATACCAGGAAAGCCCCTGAACTTTTCCAATATACGAGAAATGACCGTAAGCTTTATTGGTAAATTTATGAAACAGGGCCTTTGTATTCTAAGTTTTCTAAAATATGTCTAAAGAGTTTCCGAAATATCACATAGATAGAGGTGTTAATTAGGGTGTCAAACCGGATTTCGGTTCGTTTTTTAGATAAACTATTTCGGTTTAGTTCGGATCTAATTGATTTAGTTTATCCATATTGAACTCACATAATTAGTCCATCATCAACACTTGGCCTTAACACATTAAAAATGAGATATTCCCCTCATGATATCGAATTTATAGACTTGTCAAATTTAGACGTGTCAAAAGTGATAAATATATCGCACAAAATCGTGTTCTTGAAACGAACGTTACAAATTCTTAAATGTATGAATCAATCAAACTATAAAAATGATTTCTGACCCATCAAAATGGTGATTTCTTCGTTTGGATTTATGTTTAGAAGATAAAATCAGCAATAAACGAACGGTGAGTTTCTTCACAAGTATAATATGTTTTTGTTCGTCTTTCTGAAATTTATTTCACAACTTTTTCTTATGTCAATTTCAAATGGCCCCATATACTAGATTCAACTCATTGTTAGGTTATCATCTTCAAGCTAAAACGGCTACCAAACATTGAAAAATAAGTATATTTAAATTATGAAGTTTAGTTCCGAGATATTTCTAACTATCTATGTGCTTTTTACTCAATATATTAGGAAAAATCAAAATAAATGACTTGCAGGTGTTTTGTTTGAAAGGAATGGTTTTGCTTTGTAAAAAACCCGCTTTTTATAACTCGTGGTTACTCGAATAAAACTTAATACTTTTTCGAATTTTTATATGTTAAATGTCAATTTTTGTTTACATATTGATTATAGAGTTTTTTTTTTCTACATGAACTTGAAAAAATATATATATTTTTCATTACCTTTGGCCAGAAAATTAAAATATTTATCATCTTTAGATATACATAGGAGTTAATGTATATATCTATATATATTTTTAATTAATATGCACTTATTAATGATAAATTTTAATATTAAGATATCTCATTTCTTAAGGTATAAATTTAAATTATATATATATACCAAACAAATTATAACATGTGGTTTAAACTCACTAAATATTATTCACCAAACAAAAAAAAAACTCACTAAATATTTAAACAATTTTTTTTGTTTATCGTACCTTTTCATTTTATTCAATACTTGAAACATATTATAAGCCAAATACCATTTTTTTTGCAATTAAAAAGAAACATCTTTAACTCCTCCTAAAATCCAGCTACCTTTCCTTTAACTAAAACAAAACCAAAACTATATAATTTATTATTTTTAATATTAAAAATCACATTATTTCCTTAAATTAACTTGCTTCTCCTTTGGGTTTTTCTTGGTCACTTGATTTAAATAAATCGTTTAACAAGGTTTAGAGTTTATTATACTTTATACAACCAATTTATGCCTCCTTTTGTTTCCTCCTAATTACATGTTAATAATCATTCTTTGAGCAAAACCAATTTAAATCTTTGTTAATTAATTATTTATTAGAGTAAATAAGGGAAAACAAAAATCTCCACCTACACAATTTCTCTCTCGATTGTTCTTGTGAGGTACTAAGTCCCCTTGCGAATCAAGTAATTGTGTAAATCTTTTTTATTTTACGTATAGATAATTTCTTGAAGCTTCTCAAGAAAAAGAAAAAAACCCTTTTTTACTCGTCTCTATAA